CTTTTTTTTTTTTTTTTTGAGACGTTTTCGCTACAGGGCGCGTGCGCTCGCCAGACAGACAGAGACAGAGAGACAGAAAGGGAGAAATCACCCCCCAGGGGGGATGGTCACACCACAATCCCTTCTCCTCCATTCTCCTCTCGGGATCTTGGGCACGCACACTCACGCGCCAGGCGTGAGTTTAAGCCACCGGGCCCGGGACTTGAACTCGACTACGTGGGAGTCCAGCAACATAGCTAACTGCTGGTCCTGATAAATACTTTTTTAACAAAAGGTAGAATAGACACAGACATTGAGACAGAAGAGGATGTGGACTTACTAGAAGTATTATTTCGGGGACCAGCAGATGGCATAATGACCACATCACTGGACTCCCACAAAGTCCAGTGGTTCAGGTCCGAGATCTGGTGGCTTAAACGCTGGCTGCGTGTGCGCGAGTGCCCAAGATCTTGAGAGGAGAATGGAGGAGAATGGATCGCAGCATGCTCTACCCCTGTAAGAGGACTTCTCACTTTCTGACTCTCTGTCTGTATGACCAGGACACATGCCCTATAGCAAAAATCTCTTAAAAAAGCAGCTCAGGCTGGCCGCTGGCAGGCGGTGTGGAGGTTAAGGGCACTGAACTCCCTCGTGGCCAACTGCGGTTCAAGACCTCGGGGCTTGCTTTCTCACTTTCTCTCTCTCACACTCTGTCCTTCTCTGGTCAAATTAAAATAAGTAAACAAATAAATTCAAAATAAAAAAGTATTGTTTGAAAAGTATCCTTTTTTGAAGAATTATTTTATTTGTTATTTATTTATTTTTAATTTGACCAGAGAGCAACAGAGCAAGCGACAGAGGGAAAGTGAGAAAGCAAGCTGCCAGATCTGGGACTCAAACCAGTCAGCTAATCAGGGTCTAGCATCCTTAACCACCAAGCCACCTGCCAGCCCCCAAAAGTATCCTTTAGAAAAAGAACCATTTATTCCATTTTATTTATTATTAAATTTAGCCAGAGAGAGAGGGAAAGTGAGAAAGCAACCCACTAGGTCCGGGACTTGAACTGTGTCCAGCCACGTGGGAGTCCAGTGCTTTTACCGCCAGATCACCTCCCGGGCCTCCTCCCTCCCAAGCATCTTTACTCTTCCAGTGCTGGCACCATGGACAGCACTGAAGAAAAGCAAGGTTCTTACTGCTCCAGAAGCTCCTAAGAAGTGAAAGGATTTCTGGGTGGCATGGTGGTTAAGGCACTGGACATTCCCACATGGTCGACCACAGTTCAAGTCCTGGACCTAGTTCCTGCCCCTAGTGGCTTGCTTTCTCACTTTCCCTCTTTCTCTGGTTAAATTAAAATAAATTAATGAATAAATAATATAATTCTTAAAAAAAAAAAAAAAGTGAAGGAATTTCAATACATTGAAGAATAAACACCGGAGAAGGTTCTCCCCCAAGATGCCCGAAAGCCCTTGTCCTGGCCGTGGGATCCTGACGAAGTCAGTGAAACTCCTTTTTTGGTTCTGCATGGATAAACAAGGTTTTCCAGTGGATTCAATAAATTAGGACGTGGAGGTGAAGAACACCACCAGCCACACACGACCACCACGACCACTCCTGACGCCCACATTCCCAGCCTCACCTCCCAGCACCACCTAGGAGCTCCTGTGTGTGGACTCAGCCCCACCATGGACTCCCAGGGTCAGGAACTCGGTCAATCTTGGTGTTATTTATTTATTTATTTTTTTTGGGGGGGGGAGTGGTTGCCATAGGGTTCATTCTCGCACTAAAGAGAGGAAAAGTGAAAAACCACCGCCCTGGGAAGGTGTCTACAGTGCAATCTCTTCTCCATTCTCCTCTTGGGATTTTGGGCATGAACGCACCTGCACCTGGTGTGTTCTTCCAGTCGTCGGGTGCAGGACTTGAACCACAGCCCAACACCTTAACCACCATGCACCTGTTGGCCCCAGCAATCTGTGACGACCCTCCAGGTCCTGATGTACCTTCCACGTGGAGACCCCAGATGCACAGTACTGTCTCCACCACCCCCACCTCCCCATCCACCCACCGTTGCCTGGGTCCCCGGTGACCGTCCAGATTCAGACCTCGTAAACCAGGTCTGCATCTGAATGCACTCCCAGGAGCTCTGACAGTAGAGCCCCCCCCCACACCTCAGTTTTGTCTTTCAAATTTTTCCCCTTACCAGTGGTCAACCTCCAGCCCACATTTTAAAAAATTGAATGGAAAATTCTAATACAAACATCTGGTGACCAGAAGACAGTGGAATGATCCCGTTGTTGGACTCCCATGTGGCCATCCACTGTTTAAGTCCCGGATCTGGCAGCTTGAAGCTCATGCCAGACGTGAGTGTGGGTGTCTCCCAAGAGAATGGAGAAGGGACTGCTGTGTGGCCATCCCCCAGGGGGTGATTTCTCACTTCCTGTTTCTCTGGTGAGCACATGCATTGCATACCAAAAATTACTTTAAAAAAATCAGGGGCCGGCAGGTGGCGCTGACTCCCACATGGTCGACCGCAGTTCAAGTCCTGGACCTGGCAGCTTGCTTTCTCATTTTCCCTCTTTTTCTTGTGCTCTGTCCTTCTCTGGTCAAACTAAAAGATTTTAAAATGAAGAAAGTTTTTTTAAAGAATGATTTTATTTAATTACACATTTTTTAAGTTGAATTTGACCTGAGAGGAGGAGAGAGAGAGAAAGTGAGAAAGCAAGCCACCAGGTTCAGGACTCGAACCGTAGTTGACCATGTGGGACTCGAACCGTAGTTGACCATGTGGGAATCCAGTGCTTTTAACCACCACGCCATCTGCTGGCCCCCCAAAATGAAGGAACTCTAACAAATCGAACTTCTCTAGTCACTTGCCGTTCTGGGCATTGTGGTGGAGCGTTTCGCCACCACCCTGTTGTCCTGCCCTGGTGCCACTTACGCTTCAGCCACTGAGTAGGCCTCGGGGCCATCAGATCGACTGCGGGACCGGACAGCGATGCTTCGCTCACACAACCCTTCCTCCCCTTAATCCCGGCCCCAGAGCACAAGTCCGGGTGCTGGCGAGAAGCCCACGGCCTTCCTTGTGTGCCCACCCTGCCGTGCCTGGCCCCAGGTCAGACCCCTCTCAGACAGGAGTGACAGGACAACGCATGGCATGGCAGGCTCGCTACTGGGCACCCGGGCAAGTACCCGGCATGTACCCCCGTGCTAGTTAGGCGCGGGGCGAGGCCAGGCTCAGTGAATATTGGATTAATGGAGGAAGCAGCGAAACCCAGGGGCCTGGCGGGTCCCAGGGCCAGATTGGCGGAGGAGGAAGAGGTGGAGAAGGTGGGTGGGGCTCAGGCTTCCCGGGATGTACTTAAGCCCCCTGCCGTCCTCGCGCATTCCTACCGCTAGTCTCGAGCTTTCCAGCGTCTGGACGCGATGCCAGGCCCAGAAGGGGCTCCCACAGGTAAGCGGAGGGCTGGGGTGGGGGGCGAGCATGGGAAGTCGCTGCGAGCTGGCTCCGGGGACGCGGGCAGGGAGGCGGCTTTGAGGAGGCCCAGCTTCATCCACGAGGAGTGTGATGTTCCCGGCCGTTGTCATCGCTGTCACCGGAGGGAGTCACCAAACCCAGAGGGAGGCCGATTTGGGGGTTTGGATCCCAAACCCTCCTCTTGTGAGCTGGTTCATCGCTACCCGAGTTAACCACTGATGCTTGCTCTTGCGCAATGGGGACTCTATTAGAATAGGTGGTAGAATGAGCCTGACCATGGCGGCCAGCAGGTGGCGCAGTAGTTAAGGGGCCGGACTCCCACGTGGCAGACCCCTTTTTGAGTCCCAGACCCTGTGGCTTGAAAATCATACCAGGCACTCTTGTGTGCACGTCTGAAATCCCAGGAGAAGGGAGAAGGGATTGCGGTGGGGCCATCGCAATGGGAGGTGATTTTTCTCTCCCTCTCACTGCCTGGCCCACACACGTGCCCCATGGCAAAAACAATCTGTGGTCCAACTCCCAGACCTGGGCTGGAAAAGCATGCCACTTGTGTGCGGGCCCAAGGTCCCGAGGGGAACGGAGTCCTGTGGCATGGCCATTTCCCCTTGCGGGACACTTGCGCACACACACCGCCCCCTGCAAGCACCCACGCCCATGGCTACATATGTGTGTGTGTCACAGCCACATGGCTGCCCGCTCGACCTGGGGCGGGCGGGAACGGGGATCATGAAAGTGGAGTGGTCAGCATCTCCTGTCATGTTTCTCCTTTCAAGGCACTCACCAGAATTCACAAAGGAGGCGAACCATATTCACAGAGAAGCAGCTAGAAGACTTGAACTTCTTGTTCAGCAAGAACCCGTACCCACACCCCAGCCTTCAGAAGGAGATGGCCTTAAAAATGGATCTACATCCAACGGTGCTGCAGGTCAGGAACTAAAGTCCCGGGCAGACTGCACGGTCCCAGTGCTGGCCCCAGCCGCCCGAGGGCCCTGCAGGGCATGTGTGCGTGTGCGTGCCCCAAATCCTCGTGGGGGCAATGAACGGAGGTGGACTGCAGCCCTGGGGGGATGCTTCCTCCCTCTGACCAAGAAGGAAAGCTGTGCCCCCCCCACTGGCTGAGACGCAGACCCTCTGGGACGTTCCTGACTGGCCCAGTCCAGCCTGATCGCAGGGACAGACTTCCCTACCCACCCTGCAGCCCTCCCCGGGCCCCCAGAGCCAGGGCCAGCTCGCGTGTGCGCCCCGTACACAGCTTACGGCATTTAGGCCTGTGTGGCCGCGCTGTCCCAGGCTGAGACTGGCCACCAGCACACACGCCAGCGGGCCTGACTGTGTCTCTAGAGAACTGAGCCACATCTTTAAGTTCCTACCATTCTCATGTCTCAAAGTCTGTGTTTTGTGTAACAATGTAAAACTGTTATTTTTCTTCAAGGGTCATTTCTTCTAAGAGAGGCGCCCGCACCAACAGCCACAGCTCAGGCAGCGCGGATCGCGGGACATCGTGTGCGCGCCTGGCGGGGGGCAGGGCGGTCTCAGCAGTGAGCCGAGGACCTTCCATGTGGGTCCATTGTCACTGCTCCAGCATCTGCCCTAGATGAGACGCATTCGTAGTTCCCGGGCCAATGACGTGGGGGCTGCTGGGGGGCACTGCTCAGACAGCACCGTGCCAGGCCGCCACATGCCAGGCTCCGGGCTCACATCTGGTGTGTGCGTGCCGTGTGGTGCACGATGGGAGCGAGGTCCCTTGGGTACCATCTCTGCCTCCCGCACATGGGAGACATAAACTTGAAGCAGGTGATGGGTGAGATTCGGTGCCTGGGGCTGCACCGTCTGCTCAGTACGGCCAGGACTTGGTCCTTTGCACTCAGTCCTGCTCTGGGTTCTCGGGGGTTCCCCAGACAGGCCCTCATGCAGGGTGTGGGAAGGCCATTCCCGCCCTGAAGTCACAAGATGGGGACTTCGACTCTCTCCTGGTCAGCCCTCACTCTTTCTTCCCTCTCAGGTTTGGTTCAAGAACCACCGAGCGAAGCTTAAGAGGGCAAGGCTGAAGTTCGCCCAGCAGCACCCCGACACCCCGCAGCACCCCGACGCCCAGAGAGAGCAGCTCCTTGGGGGTGGCGTCAAAACCAGAGCTTCCCAGAGGGACATGGACCCAGCACCCGGATCCCCGGACCATGCCTGCCCAGCCCCCCTAGTTTACACAGACAGCCGGACACCCTCATTCCAGCTCAGTGTATGCTCCAACATCAGGGCCCCCGCAGACCCCTCCGCTGGCCACAAAATAGTGCACTTCGGCTGTTGCCGGGATCCGAACATATACTGTCTGTCTCCCATCCTGGAGCCCCTGGTGCGCTCCCGAAGCCTCAGTCCTCGTTCTTAGCGTCAGTTCTCCTTCCCTGGGCTCTTCGGGGACACCAGAAAGAGGTGGGACACAGCGGTCACACTGCCACGCCTCCCAACGCAGGAACGCCGCCAGCCATAAGGAACAAAGCAGAGACGCGGCATCAGGGACAGATGGCAAAAACATCAGAGAGGGCCAAGGGGGCGAGGGGTGGGATGGTGGTTAGGGCACTGGAAACTCCCATGTGGCTGATGGCAGTTCTAGTCCCAGACCTGGTGGCTTGCTTTTTCACTTTCCCACTCTGTGTCTCTCTCTGATCAAATTAAAAATAAATAAATGGTTGAATGAGTAAGATTGAAATAATTTTTTTTTTTTTAAGAAAAGGTTAAGAAAGGGGGGGGCGCCAGCAGGTGGTGTGGTGGTTAAGGACACTGGACTCCCACCTGGCCGACTGTGGTTTGAGTCCCAGATGTAGCAGCTTGCTTTCTCACTTTCTCTCATTCTTTGTCTTTCTGTCCCTCTCGGGTCAAAACTTAAAATAAAGCTAAATAATTCTTTTTTTCAAAAAAGGGGGGAACAGAAGACAGCCTGCTTTTCCACGCCATCCAGGCAAATTCCTGGAGCAGGAGTAAATACCCTTGATGGCTACAAGATCGGTGGCTGCCATGGTGGGAAGTGAGCCGAGAGGCAGGGAATGTAAGGGCAGGCAGGGGCCGCCGTGGCGTTGCCACAACTGCCCATCCGGATCTGGGCACTCTTCCCATAAACAACAGTAAAAAGTCCATCTCGGTGGAACCAGCGGTTAGCGTAATGGCTATGGTGCTGAACACACATGTCGCCGACCGCGGTTCGTGTCCCGGACCCGGTGGCTTAAAACTCACGCC